ACATCGTTCGCCGTGGCAACCTATCTGGTGACATGCGTAACACATGTCCCAACCAGCGTGATCTATGGACGTCGATCACTTGCTCTAGTGGACGACCGCAACTGCCTAAAACTCAACCCCTAACCTCAGCATTGCTAGTCCGGTTACTCCACCAGACACGTGCAATGCTACGTAGACAGTGGTGTTCGAACACCGACAATCTATTTTTATCCTGTTTCTTTAGTGGCCAGGTCTCTGCACCGTAGAGCAGGACTGGTCGAACTGTCGCGGCATACACTCGACCCGTCAGACAATCGGCTGTCGCGACGGCGCCACAACTGTCTCAAGTTGGCAAATGCTAACCGAGCCTTTTGTATCCGCGCCGACACTTCATCCGTGATGCGTCCGCCGGGTGAGATATAGCTGCCTAAATAGCAAAATTTGTCTACTCTCTCAGTTAGGGTGAGACTGGGTGCTGGATCAACCCAATCTTGCAGCAGTAGCATTTTACCTTGGAGGTGCAAAACGCATACCGAACATGGCAACACTAGCACTCAAACTATCCAGAAAAGCTTGCAACTTACAAACCACATGGGAAAGACAGATTTATCTTGTGAGTACCATTGAGTCATCGGCAATGAGAGAGAAGGGGCATGTCACTGAAAGTGAGTTTCAACCAAACTATACATTCATACATACCGTCACAAAAATTGAATCAACAGGTACAAGTACTTTGAAAACTTCGTGTGAGGTGTCATTAAGCGAGGGGTTTCAAACCAAAGTCACATCCGCGGCATGAAAAATGACCTTGAATCAACTGGTTTCGGCGAATGACCGTGGCGTACACGGGCTGGTAATGAAGCCAGCACTGTTTATTGCATCCTCGAGAGCTAGTTCGTGTGAGACACGTACGCATGTGAACGGAATTTTAGACAGGATGATAAATATCGGGGAGATAAACATGCAAATGGAAACGGTAAAAACGGAACAATTTTCCAGTGCACCAACTGATAATTGGAGCTTCTTTGCTGCCTAAATGCACGCGCGCATACACATATCGATGTAGATCAAATCGGATTGCAAATCACAAATTCAGATGATGGATGGTGACTAGCGAACGATCGATTGTATTATTCTTTTAAAACTCAAATCATACTGGTTTCGGGGAACGAACTCGCCGCTAGGGCCAAACTGTGACTTTTCACGGCCCTCAGTGATTGGCTGATTGACTAGCGACTATGCAACAGTTAGATGGAGCGAATCGGTTGTACAAATCCAGAAATTAAATAGTTCGAAATCCATTTAAACGAAAAAGTTCATTCTGACCTCTTACTGAAGGAAGGTATCATTTGCGTCACTAAGTTTTCCCAAATAGGATTGCAAAAACAATCCGCAACAGGTCAGAGTGTCTCACTAAACGATGACAAACACGTCAGGATGATATCGTTTCATCTCTTCCCGAGAAAGCTCCAAAAATGTCCGCATACATACTCGTTTTAACAAATGAACCCAAAATATTTGTTTGTTCTGATAGACGGATTTACAGTCAAGCGGTTCAACACGTTCAGTTCAGTTTTTACAACCATTAACCGGGCACTTTCGTGCGCCGGTTTTGGCTGCCCATTTGGATAAAAGAGTAGGAAGAAGATTTGAATGTTGAAAGCAAATTCAAGCGGAAGATGGAGAATTCATTTAGAATTGTGCTAGGGGGATGAGTGAATGCATGAGTGCCACTGTTTGCGACATCCAGTCATATGGCTCACAAGTCTCCAACCATCGGTGACTATGATCTCGGGGTCCCCAGGCAGGTGGCCTAACGGGACCTACTTGAGCCAGTATCCTGGTCAGGGTTTTCATACCCTCATCCCAGGTCTTCATTTGACCGCCCTTCATTTTTTTCCAACCGCTACCTGCCTCGGCAAACATCGCTCACCATAGCAACCTATTTGATGGCATGCGTAACACATGCCCCAACCAACGTAATCTGCGAAGGTCGATCACTTGCTCCAGTGGACGACCACGACTGCCTAAAACTCTACGCCTAACCTCAGCATTGCTAGTCCGGTTACCCCACCAGACTCGTGAAATGCGATCTACACAGCGTTTCAACACGATGTTTCTATGTCTCACCGATTCCAGTTTAGAATGTTTTTCCTGATCAGTTTATTCTTCCCCGTGGTCAGTGAACATCAGACGACTGTTGATAGGACAGTTTACTTCATGGCATTGATTTATTAGGACTGCTGTTGTAATGACAACTGAAGAGAGTCATCTATTGGAGTAGGAATGGAGCTCCTGCAATGAGTCACACGGACATCGCGTGCGAAAATATCGTCAAATTAATGTTCAAGACGAACGGAAAATGAACAGGACCACAACCACAGCTCGGTATGCGACCCGTAGCTGACCATAACGACGACCTCAGAGTGGCTTCACAACAGGGCTATCAATCTCGGTATAAAGTGCTCAATGATCGAGTCAAACCAGCAAAAATAGAGCAGAGCAGAAGAGGAAGAAGAACGGGAGATTTCCCGATGTCTGGCTGAAACTGAAGGAGAAAAGCAAACCACATGAATGGCTCACCTGATTTCGGTGTGGTTGGAAATCAGCCGTCCAAACAATCGAACGTTAGCGAGACTTGACAACAAACTTGATGCAGACATATTTTTCCCCACCGATTGGCCACCATATTAATTCCGATCCATTTGCTACCCAGCGAATTTATCAGCCCAATTCAGGACAACTTAGTTCTGGGGTTAGATATTAGCCCCAAATAAATAAACAATAGGTGTTCAACGTGACTAATTGTAATCCACATATTGTGTGATGAAAAGTGTCATGCGTTTAGGGAACGCTCCATTAGACTTGTATAACTTGCACTTTCACACAGGGGGGGCGGGTATCTGATAATAAACAATCGAAAACAGAAACGACCAAATATTGATCAATCAATGAATTAGAACCGTTGAATAGGAGTAGAAAAAAAAATTCCGATATCCATGGGAAGAAATACAATTTGTATATTTGACAGTTCACAACGAATTTCTGCAAACGAGAAAGCACGGATAAGATCAGATAGATCCGAGGTGGATTCCACAGGCAGGCAGTCGAGGACTGTCTGGTCAAACTCACCCAATTAAGTCTTACTCTCTTTCACATGAACACACACACACTAAACAAACATAGCTCACCTGGCACTCAAAGCCTCGCCGATAAACACTTCATTCAAGGCTCGAATCGGCAGTGTGGTTTGTGTCATGTATTCTCGCACACCGATCGGGATCAACGAGTCACGCGGAACACCTGAGTTGGACGGTGAAGAAAGACGGGATGTGGATTGCGATTCCAGTTCCGCGTATTCGTCTGCTTCCAAACGATCCCAGCCGTTTAAAACGACCGGTTTTCGTTTGTCCAGGACCTCAATTCGAGGCGCGTGTTCTTTGTCATGGATCAGGGTAACGCGAATTCGATTTCGCCAAAACGGCCTATAAAAAATCAATAAATGTGACCATGGGTATATAACCGAAGGACAAGAGATGATTCGCACACAGAGATATAAGAGAAGTGCACCTGGTGAATATGAAAACAGATTCCACTGTGCCGGGGACCATGGCGAACGTATGAGTGATGAAGAAACGCATCTCCTAGTGGCAAGCGAGACTAAAGTGGTAGATTGCAGTCGCACACGATCAACGACATTGACTGGGGACGTAGGGGGTTATAGTCTGTTAAGCGATCAGTTCACAAAACACCGTTATAGACGGGAACCTGAGTCGAAGCGAAAGAAAACCACACGCCGCCCCCCCCCACCCCCACCCCCGCATAAAGATAGTAATCACATTTGCAGCGACTGCGCAGATGAAAGATGAAGTTGAGCGGTACTCTGCGTCTCCTATTGTCGAGTTCCTGCAGCGAATCAACATCAAATAAACTGTGAGTTAGGGGTCACGTAAAAGTACTTCCCATTGTCCCGTTTGATTGATCAACTACTTACGACAACAGTAATTGCTTCCGGCTGGAAAATAAAAAACGCAGTGACCGGAACAGAATCAGCTTCGGCGATTGATTTCCGTTTGATAATCCACTCCGAGCCGTTATGAGGTCTACACGGTATCATCAGGCCTCCAAGGCTGGTGCTATTCGTGGACTGGAGGTCAACCGTATTTGATAGGTGCGCCTATAAACGTCTTCCATGGAACGTTCACTACCATTGGCTTAGTCGAAGATCCTTTCGGTAGCAATCCACTCTGACTATACAGGTCTAATTCCTAATGAGATTTCGGAACTGGAGATATAGGCATTTTGTCCATAACGCAGCCCCGCTCCCTCGATAAGCCCGCACTATTTCGGACGTTCTGTCTCCCCGTGAGTGTTTGCTCGCGAAAATTCTTCGCGTTTATCAAAAAGCTTTCGGAGGAAGAGATACACTTCGCTCATTTGTTTGGCGCAATGACCAGGTACGTCGAATTCCGGCATAAAGGAACAAATTTACATGTCACCAGACGCGTTCTCCAGTCTTAGATGATAACGGTCGAGCGATTCAGGTGGTGGTGGTCAGTCGCGTGCACACGGCCTTCCGATCTGAAACTCGAGCTGAGCCCGTTCCGGTATACATAACTATTACACGCACGCTTTGATTGCTGTCTTCTAGCTACACATTCACGCGAACACTGGTTCAGTAGGCAGAACATGTAGGAGGCAGGGAGCTGTACTTGGCTGAAGTTAGGGGATTCCGACAGAGTAAATAGTGTAAAGGAAACGAGCAGATAAACACGAGCGGCACGGTTTATATCACTTGACTTATGGGATGCACCCTTGTCACCTGGAGAATTGTCATTTCAAGTGCCACTACTGGAGATCAGTAATTGCTCTTAACAGAATAATGTGTGTTTGTGGCTACGGGATTTACATTTTGTGCCCGCTATTGCGTATCAAGGCAGATCTGACACAGATTGATTTTCTACGGGCTTGAATTGGAACCACTGATCGGAATCGTTTCTGTTGAACGAAACCGTTCAAGGGGTGACACGCTGATGGACTATGACCGAATCGGTAGTCATGAGAGCACTCACAAACAGCAACCCCGATTGCGTTCGAAAAACATTAGTCAATAAGCACGTGTACATTAAAACATCACGCACCCGAATCGTGCGTTTACCTGTCTCCCCCTCACTCGGTGTGTGTGTGGTGCTAAGAATGCCGTAGGTTGTAGCACGTTCCCGTCACTCAAATGCAGCCCTCGCCAACGATGACAGCTTAAGCGATGCACAACAACGAACTTTCACGGTGCATACGTCAAACATTGCATTCATTTATCAGACAGCTAACGGATAGATATACAAGCTATGTAGGACACACTACGGACCGGAAAGTGTAACGGTACGTCAAACGGACTGCACGTCAACACTGTCCCTATTCAGGTGAATTGTGTACACGAAAAACTGATGGGCGGGCGAGTGGATCTATTGAATCAGTGTTCAGTTCTCAACTGCGTTGTGCGAGTGAGGTGAGAATCATGCACATGGACAACAAGGTTTCTTTCGCGACCCAATTCCATGTGAAATCACTTCACTCGGAACAATACTCAGGTCTGGTGATCGACGACGGATCAGGCGAGAAAGACAGAATAAAATGTGGGGATACAGGCCTTTGTTTTTGCGTTGTCTGGGTGTCAGTGACATATCTCCGTCCGGGGTTCGCTCGCTGGTTGTGACCCGGTCAGGTGTGTCTTCTGGAATGTGACAGGGTTGTCAACAGTTTCAGTGTTTACAATCATTAACCATGAACATTCGTGCGCCGGTTTTGGTTGCTGTCTTTTGGCTACCCATTTGGATAAAAGAGCAGAATGAAGATTGAAATGTTGACAGTAGATTCAAGCGGGAGATAGAGCATTCCTATTGATTGCTGTTTGGAGAGTAATGAGTGGATGCACGGGCGCTACTGTTTATGACACCCAGCCATATCGCTCAGTGTCTCCCACCATCGGTGACCATCACCTCGGGGGCCCGAGCCAAGGAGCTTGTGACCTAATCTCCTAGTTATGGTTTCCATACCCTCGTACCAAGTCTTACTTTGACCACCCTTGACCTTTTTCCACCAACTACCTGCCTCGGCAAACATTGCTCGTCACAGCAACCTATTTGGTGGCATGCGTAACACATGTCCCAACCAACGTAAGCTGTGAAGGTCGATCACTTGCTCCAATGGACGACCGTGACTGCCTAAAACTCTGTGCCTCACCTCAGCATTGCTCGTGCGGTTGTCCCACCATACTTGTGAAATTCGACGTAGACAGCGGTGTTCGAACACCGACAATCTATTTTTGTACTGTTCCCGTAATGGCCAAGTCTTTGCACCGTAGAGCAGGACTGGCCGAATTGCTGCAGCATATACTCGACCCTTTACAGACGGCCGAATATCGCGACGGTGCCACAGACGTCTCAAGTTGGCAACCACTAACCAATCCTTCTGTATGCGAGCTGACACTTCATCTGCGATGCATCCGCTGGATGGGATAAAGCTGTCCAGAAAGCAAAACTTATCTACTTCCTCTACTACCTCACAAGTCAGGGTGTGACTGGGTGCTGGACCAACCCAATCTTGCAGTAACGTTTTGCACTTTGAAGGTGCAAAACGCATATCGAACATGGCAAGACTAGCACTCAAACTATCCAGTCAACAATCAACACATTCTTCGCGGATAGCTTATCAATGAGGTAAACCGATAACACATCGATCTTTTCTAAAATCATTTCAAGTTCATTAAAGCTGTTTCAGAACCAAAAAATAATAATTTGTAAGTGCCACTAAAAATATAAAAAGCAAATGAGATATCGGCACTTTTGACAAAGCATTGAAAATCAGAACCCGTAGCTTGGGTGGACGGAATTCAAATTCGTACGTTCGTCGAGCTTAGCAATTTGTTCTCAAACTGTTTTTGATTCCGGCTGAAGTGATATCTTCAGTGCTTGTGGTGTGGTAATGTTCTACTTCTGCCCGTTCGGTTAGACACGTGTCCTTTTTCAGTGACTTTTTTGTTCGTTGTTCTGACTGTTTTCAACCTAGTTCGCCCGAGGAATTGGCACGAAACGGGAGTGGAGAGGGGGGTGTTCCTCTGTATGGATTACAGTTGTTTTTCCAGATCCATTCTCGGGTCACTACGTGACCGATTGGCAGCCTCATTGTGTTGCATTGACGTGTGCATCTGATCCAGTTCGATAAGTACCTGTTTACTGAGTTAATCGGAGCGCACCAAGGTTCGATAAATTCTCTGACGTCTTGTGATCGGGTTTAGTCGATGATTGTCCCTGAATTGATATTAAAAATCCCATCGTTCTTGGAGGGAAATGAATGAGAAAGTGGGTCATGCTTCCTGATTGCCAGTTACTGTTCATGGAAAGTTGTTAAGAGTTTCCTTCGTGCTAACAAGGTAGAAAATAGCGTGAAGAATGGGTTAAACAGTCGCTAAAGAGGAATATAGGTAAGTGAACGGACACATTCACTGACTATGTAACCTCGGTTGCTGATTACATGTTTGCAAACAAATTGGTAAGCTCGGCGAGTAGGCAAAAATGAATCGATACTTGTGTAGGAATGGATTTGTCCTATGTCGAGGGTACCGTTAGACTGAGGTGAGCGACAATCAAAATTAAAATGGGATGGACAAATGAATACATATATCAATATCCAAGTTGAAAAAGATGTATAGAGCGAGAGAAAGGAAAATCCTGTGGTCAATATTTGATGAAAATTGTCATGCTAGGCATAATAGGTCCGAAAATTGATCAAACAATTGCAATACATCGCAGACTGCCGAACAAAACAATCTGCTGTTCGATACATCTGCAATCGGTCGATAAAATTCACATTGCCAGTTCCCTTGCATCAGACAGTGGGACATAAGAGCGGGGAACACTGGCCGGATCATCATCAACAACAACAACACATGACACCCAAACCTTTGGTCATGAGCGTGTATTGTATTCACACTAGGTCTGCGGCGCGCGCGAGATTGACTGTCACGTGTTAAATGCAGTTATCTGTGGCAGCATAGTCGAAGGTCAAACGATCAGATTGTGAAATATTTCCGGGGCATTGGATCATGTTCACGCTCTCT